CAGAACAAAGCTGTGAGCGATGCTAGGCTCAGGGGAACGATGCTGGCTACATTCCGCCTCAGCACGGTCCCCACCTACAGGGGCTCAGGGGACAGACGACACCCGATGTGAGACATGGGCCCGACAGATGGCCACTCACGAAATAGGAATCTTTAGGGAGAAAAAAACTGGAGCCCTCTCCCCAGCTTGAGGGCCAGGATGTGTTCCAGGGAACGGACACTCGACCACAGGCACCTGCCCGTCTCGCCCGACCCAGGGGCAGCAGCTCTGGCCCCTCACCACTGCAGGCGTGTCTCTGGCGTCTTCCTGGAAGCGGGCCGGGGTGACCCCGATGGCTGAGGCCCCTGCTGCTGCCGCTGCAGCTGCTTTAGCGCCCTGTAGGCCTGCACGGCCCGCTTTCGCTCCTCCACCACGATCCGCTGCCGGGCTGGCGAGGTGCTCTGGGGCTGGGATGCGGTGCCAGGGCTCAGGAACTTCTCCAGCATCAGTGCTCTCCCGCCAGGCTGAGGAGCAGAGCCAGGGAAGTGGAGGCACAGCTGTGGGAGGGAGGGGAGACAGCAAAGACCCTGAGCCCAGGGACAATGCGGTACAGGTCCTGTGTGCTCTGGGCCACGCAGCACTGGGGGGCAAACAGGCCAGCACCCTGCCCCTGCTTACCTGGCCCCTGCTCATGCTCATCCTGGGCTTGGCAGTCAGCTCCGGGGGCTGCAGCACCACCTCACCAAACTTCACCACATCTGGAGGGGCAGAGACAGCCACTGCAGTCCCGGCACCCGGCGCCACTGCCCGCCCAGCCACCAGCCCCGGGAGACACGGGCACCTGCGCCCCACCCCGGCCCCCAGAACCAGGGCTGACGACTGCCGCGGGAAGAGCACCTTGGAGCAGCTCCTGCTCCAGCCTCTCTGCGGCCTCTTCCTCCCTCCTCTGCCGGGCCTTCTCCAGCCGCCGCTGCTGGAACCTGGGAAGAGAGCAGGGCCGTTCACACTCCTCTCATCTCACTGGACTCAGGAGGAGGCAGAGATCACCCCCTGCCCACAAGGGACGCTCCACAGCAGAGCCCCGGTGGCACATGTGATGTGGCCCCTTAATGTGACTGGAATCAACGTTCAATGAGTTTTAGAGATCACTGTGGCTTTGGGTGGTACCCGGGATGCGTCTGCTGTGCTGGAGTTTTCATTGGCTAATATGACTACACGTATGATTCAGACACGGGGAGAATCCACAAAGCTGAAAACAATCCAGTGTTCACAAGTTTTACAGAAATTTCTGGTGAAAGCTTGGTCTGGTTCATGTCAAAAGTTGCAGTGAGTGGGGGCGGGTAACAACTCAGTGGCAGAGCACACGCGTAACATGCAGGCAATCCTGGGCTCAATCCCGGGTACCTCCATCACAAAAAAAGAGAAAAAAATGTTGCAGGAAAGATAAAAATCCATCTCCAAAAGCACTTGTTTGCTGAGACCACCACCCCAGCCGCCACCGGCAGGCTCAGGGAGGTGGAGACTGGGTTGAGGGCAGAGGTGGGCCAGGGAGCTGCAGCTCGCGGAGGGCTTCCTCCTGGTTCCGATCTCCCGTGAGCCCCAAGATGCAGGTGCCAGTGTCTCCACTTCTCCCACCAGCTGAGTCTGAGAGGTCACAGAACTCGTGCAAATGACACAGCTATAGGCTTTCAAAGCTCTTTCAGGTGAAAGGTGAACCCTGGAAACCAACATCCCCCAGCGGCCAGCAGGCCCTCCTGGGAGGGCACCGAGCCCCACTTGCTACTGGTTCCCTGTACCCGACCTGCGTGGACAGCGGCCCTCGGCCCCTCTCAGCTCGTAGACCCCTGATGCTTTCCAGAGACAGGCACAGACAAAACCAGGTCTTCGGGGTTCCGTGGGTTCAGAGCCTTGCTGGAGCCGAGGTTAAGCAGGTCCCGTGCAGAGAGAAACACTGCCGACTGCCAGGTCTGTGCTTTCCCTGAATCACATGGTGGGGGAGGGTGCCCACCCGCAACAAGATGCTGTCACTGCAGGAGACAGTCGTGCACGCGGCTGGACCCCCAACCTCTCCAGCCCCACTCACGCCTTCTTCCGCTCTGACTTCTCCTTCCGGGGAGCTGCCCGTGCCTCGGGCTGCCGGCTGGCCTGGTTCTTGCTGAGGAACAGCACATGCTGGGCCTCCTGCTCCATGCGCCGCACATAGGCGCCATCGGACTCCCACTTCCTCTGCGTGAACTTCGGGACGGCGATGTCCGGCTCCTCTCCCTTTGCTTCCTTCTCCAACGTCTTCCTAAAGGCCACCTGGGCTGAGGACACAGGGAGACTTCAGAAGGGCGGGTCGTAGGGGAGGAGGGAGCAGGTGGTGCCAGGCTGGCTGCCCAGGCTCACCTCCCCTCCCGGGGCGACAGGAAGGGTAGACTAGGCTCAAGCAGGAGCTAAAAAGCATCCGAGCCGCCAGCCCGGGGCCCCCGACAGGTCATAGGTGTCCCCCGCAGCTCGGCTGGAAAAGGAAGCAAAAAACAACCTAAGTGTTCATCAATAGGTGGCTGAATGAGTGAATTCCCGTGTTCACCCAGAGACGTCACCGCTCCGCTGCAGGGCAGAGATGGGGAAGGGATGTGGAGAGATCTACAAAATCCACTGGAAGAGAAAACCTAGGACACCAAACAACGTACAGAACTAAGGTGCAGCTTTTACACAGTAAATGTGTGAAAATACACACTGTTTCCTCTGGGACGGCTCACAAGAAAACAGACGGGGAGGGAGCAAGACTCAGAGACGGGGCCGGAGGCTACCCCTCACCTCATACCGCTCAGAACTATTTAATTTTACCAAGTGTGTAAGCCTTTATCTTTTAAGTAACTTAACCAGGAAAACGGCTGATTCAGTAGAATGCGATTCAGAATGTCCCCCTCCCACCTGGGCCAGCGACCTCCTCTATCCCTCCCCATCCTCAACTCTTCATTTCACTATCCCTTTGGCAGCCATCTAACCCTCAACGAAAAGCCTAAGGTTTACAGAGACATTACAAAACCCCATTGTTGCAAAATCAGCCCTACATTTGGGAAACAAACACCTATACATGTACACAAAATGCAAACACGCTGGACTCCATTCCCCAGCAGCCAGGGTGTTACCCCTGGCAGAGGCCGACAGGTGGGCACCCTGCCTGGCCTTGGGGGAAGGGGGCACTTCTCAGGGCATCTGATCAATTCCCTCCGTAACCTCTGGAAACCATCCACTTCTCTCCACCATCGTTTCTGCCCTCTGGTCCATGGGACCACCATTTCTCACTTGCAAGAGCCTCATCGACCTGCAGTGTCCAACCTCACTCCCTCACTTGTTACACAGTGATTTTTTTTTCTACTAAGTCTGAATCTACCATCCTCTCTGATGGCTCTCCAGCACTCCTGGGAAGGAGAGGGGAGGGGAGTCAACACTCCCACCTCTGCCCATGAGGCCCAGGGGCTCCTTTTGGAGCCTGACCTGAAACCACACTGCCACCTGCCGCCAGCCCTGACACCAGCCTTCCCTCAGTCCTCTGCAGGCTCCTCGGACTGCTGGGGCCTGGCCGACTTCCTCTGCCTGAAACGCCGTTGAACACTTGGGCAATTAAATGGATTCGAACACACAAGGCTGTATTACCCCCGGCACGGGCCTGAACATTACCCTCTTTCTTCCTCTTCTTGTTACTGATGGGGTTTTTCATCTCCTGGCGGCTCCTCATAATCTCCCGGAGCCGGAAAGGGATTTCCTGTTCGTCCTGGTTCTTGGGTTTGCAATCCACTTTCTTCTTCTCTTCGCTGGGAAGGAGAACACGAGGGTGAGACACATCCCAAGTCAAGCAAAAGCAGAACCAGAGAAGCCGAAGCTGGGCCTAGACAAAGAAACTTCACAGGCCACCCTGGCCGCTGTGGTGCGTGCGGGTCAAAGGAGCACGGCCTCTGCTCTCGTCCTCACCAGCCCGGAGGCTGTCCCTGAACTGGCTCCTCGCAGGACTCTGGGCGAGGCGCTCCCGGAGCTCGTCCAGGACGGCACTGACGGCACTTGGAAGGTGGCAAGCGCCACCCCGTAGACTCCCTCGCGCCTCCACTCACCCGGCTGCCGCCGGCCGCGGGAGAGGCCCCGGGGAGTCTTCAGTGCGCTGAGACCTGCACCCACC